AGCGTCAATAACTGACCGTTTTTTGAATTTTTAAGCGTTTTTTGCGTTTTTTGAATTTTTACGGAACTGACCGTATATGCAAATTAGAAATAGGGGTGTGTGCTTTCCTCACCAAACACAACCTCTCATTCACACTAGATATAGATGCACTTTATCCATCTTCTGGCCGTTTTTGGTACTGCAATTTTCAAAAGTCAAATTTAGTCAGTCATTCTTGCAATCTCTGATCCCGTGTCCCCACACTCCCTTTTTTTTTTTATTATTTTAATCCCTGGAGTAGAAGTTCCATCTTTAGGGAAGGCTTTCTGGTTTGAAAAGTGTCGTGTAGAGAAGTTACATTTATTTATACCTTTAATGTTTTTTATGTGTAAAAAAAGTCTGATGTTTATTTTCCGTCGTCTTTCTCAGAGGCCTGTTGGAGCTTTGATCGACACCTCGGAAACAGAACCAGAATCCCAGACTCTTTACCAGAAGGTACCGGGATTTCTAAATAATCTGCCACCATCGTCTTTATTAGTGACTAAATAGAAAGACAGTTAAACATGCCGGCTTTTGTTTCGTCACCAGCAGGGCCCCGTCGACGAGTCCGCAGACCACCATTTCCGCAAACCAGCCAACGACATCACATCCCAGCTGGAGATCAACTTCGGAGACCTCGGCCGTCCTGGACGCGGGCGTGGCGGCGCTCGCGGAGGCAGGGGAGGCCGCGGCGGTGGAGGCAGCCGGACGGCGCGTGGGGGAGGACGTTCTGAAAAGGTGAAGACAAACAAATCTCGCCTGGGATGTTTAGTTGGAGTGAAGATTTGTCCTGATGGGTTTGGGGTGGTGGTGATGTGTCGCACCTACGGATTAAGCTGCTTCACAGTGTTAACCCATAATGTGTTTATGCCCATTTGGTCATCAGGTGAAGCGCATCAATGCAAACTGTTTTTATTCACAGCAGGTCATTTGTCTGCCCTCCTGTCCTGTGCAGGTCTGGATGTGGGGGGCAGAGCATTTAAGCAAAAATTATTTTACTATTGAATCAAATTGAGGAAGAAGAAAAAAAGTTCCAAAAGTGTCTCAGTTTGTAAAACTACTTATTATTTTAGTTCCTGACTGGTTTGGAGAGCTCCTTTGGTTCTCATTGTGTGCCAGACCTCCTGCTTAAAGGTTTTCCAGCCTATTTTATTCATCCTAGGACTTTGGAACCTGATTGACTGCAAAATTTTAGGGGCTTCTTAACAAAGGGGGTGGATATATATGCATTAGAATATTTATTTATAGGTTTATTTTATGCTTTTTATTTTAGATTTTCACCAAGACTTT